AAGAAAACGGTCGAAAACGGTAAAGTTAAAGCTTGCTCACTTAAAGGAATTTTCCACGGAAGAAGCACCGCCCCCATTACCACAAAACGATACCTTGAAGAAATCTTCCACGGAAAAAGCTCCGCCTCCATTACCACAGAAAAACGGCCCCTTAGGCCTCTAGCCTCATTAGCATAGCAAAAAGAACGGAACATAAGCGTTAGTTTCGATAATACTAATCCTACACACAAGACAAAATGATCACTCTTTCCGTGGAAGATTCCTTTAAGGTATCGTTTTCTGTGGTAATGAGGGCGGAGCTTTTTCCGTGGAAGATTCCTTTAAGTGAGCAAGCTTTAACTTTACCGTTTTCGACCGTTTTCTTTCCTTTTTTTGGTGCTCATTTCATCAGAAGGGGGAGGAGGACATTCGAAACAGGACATTAAAAAGCTGGCTGGTAGGTGACACTATGACTTACCCAAGAGAGGGTAGAAATGCAAGGGAGAACAAAAATTGGACCATGAAAATTAGCTTTTCCCCGTCAAATATGCAGCAGTACGCAAGCGCGGACCATGTGCAGAAGTGGCGGGGCGATTTGACAAGGTTTAGGCGCTAGGAGCCTAGGTTGGAGCATTGGCGCCGCCCCAACCCCATTGAGCCCGCCCACTGTTCCACGCGACCTTCCAAACAACCACTTGGAACACTAGATGTCAAGCCGTTGTTTGGAAGGTCGTAGGAGGATATTTGCGGATTTCGACTGCCAAGTTCAACATCAAAGTCTATGTTACGGCCATTATCGGGAACTTTGCCATTCATTCTAAGGAGAATCAAATTTTTAAAATAGGAAAAAAAACAAAAAAGCAGAAATAAGCAGAAAAATAGGAAAATTAGAAGAAATCAATTTCCATTGCTGATTTTTATGGCCGTGTCGGTTGTTGGCATGGAGCCAGCAGCTGCTGTGAACACGTTCAGACACGTAATCCTCCCAGCCCTGGCTTGTAAGTAACTAACGAAGAGGAGGTCATTATTTTGGACCTTTTCGGGGTAGTTCCTGCTTTTTTCTTTGGTTTGATTCAGTTAGCACCCGGGGCGTCATTGTACAGGAAACTCCCTCATTTTATCCCGGAGCTTGCCTTCAAGGCTTATGGCTAGTCCCAAGCATTGTAAGTGGCTCACTCACTTGGATGCCCCTCCAACGTCATGAACTCCTCTTTTATCTTTATCACCAGCCCATTTCACAAAAGTGTTTTCATTATCGCGTGCAATAACCCGACGAATTCGATTCTGGGCCTTCAGAAATTCTAGTAAATTCTTATTCAGTACCTCGTTGCTTGTGATGCGGCTGTCGAGTCAAGCAATATCACGTAGACATCGAAGGAATTTTCTTCAACGGGAACCTCTTCTTTGGTTTCTCTAAAAGACACTTCCTCAATTCAATGCATTTCCAATTTCATAATACTTAACACGACATAATACCATACGATTTGTTATAAATTGGCACAATGTGAGCAATGAAAATGTTGATGCCAGTTGGAAAGGAAATTACGTCTCAATGATTTGTGCATGGACCATCTGGTAGATGTCACTTCCTTTTAAATCTCTACATAGCGACTCCACAATGTCACAACGGAAGTCTGCCTCGTCTATCTTCACCCATGGCCCACGTTTGTTCACCAGTTCCGATTTCCTCACTAAGCATCTGAAATCAGCTGAACTGAAGTAATATAAAAAAATATAAACGATACTAATAAAATGGATTTAGTCTGAAAAAGATGCTAACAAATAAGTATTAGGTCGCAACGAAAGTAATGGCGGATTCGACCCTCAATTTCAAAAACTCGTATCTTTCTTTGAATTGAACTTTATTCCTAATAATAATTCCCACAAGCACTTACACCAGTCCGCCATCGGTCGACAAGGAAACAAATGCCTCTCCTTCAAAATTCGGCAGGCTTCGAGTCGAAGAAGTGCCCATGTCCGCTTTCAAGCTATTGAAAGTTGTCGTAGTTTTTATCCTTTGAGAAGTGAGCCAGGGAAAGGAGTGGGTGGTAATCCGTAGGTGCAAGACCTGGCGAACCTATGGAGGATGGGGTGAAACCGCAGATCCAAGTTCCGCCAATGTGTCCTGGGTTACCCTTGCAACATGGGGTCACGCGTTGTCATGAAGAAGAAAAACTTCGTCCATCTCAGGGCGAAGTTTCGCGACTTCAACTGCGAGCCTTCGTGGTTGTGAGCAGTACACCTCGGCGTCGACGATGGTATTGTCTGGCATCTCGTAATGACGTGTTCCCCGAACTCTCCACCAAACTGACAGAGGAACTTTCTTGGGATGAACCTCCTGCTTTGGAACAGGCTCTGGCTTCTGGTTCGCACCCATTCACTGTCTTCTTCTGGTATGACATAGGTAGAGCCCCCACCTTTCATCTCCAGTAATTACATTATCCAACCAGTCGAAACGGCGACTCCTTGCAAGAAAACCTCCGCACACCCCGATACCTCTTTTCTTGCAATGCTCTGTCAGCTCATGAGGGATCAATCGACCAAGTTTCTCAACTTTTTCCAGCATGTGATGAACACGACCTGTGGCCATGTTGAAGCAGTGCATCTCCTTTGCCAGCTCCATGGCGCTTGCATGCGGAAAGTCTTGAAGTAACAGCTCCAAACGTTCGAAATTAACTTTCGTTGGGCGTCCATCTTCGAGGTTGTAGTTTCCTTCGCGGAGCCTTCTGAACCAAAGTTGGCAGGTTTTTTCACTTACCACTCCCCCTACTTCCACAGAGCATATTTTGCGGCAGGCTTCGCTCGCTGTGTGTCCCATACAAAATTCGCAAAGAAGTCAGTGGCGTACATGGGTAGAAACTTATGGCATTTTCCAGGCTCCAAAAGGCCTGCAGGAGGTGAGACTCGGAAATATGAAGGGATGTTACCATTCCTGTATATGGTTAAAAAATTTCCCCTCCAGGTTAATGCGCAGCCGTTTGTCAGGACTTTGAAGAAATCCGCCAGGACTTTCGTTGCGACCTAATATACTTACCATATAGTACATCGCAGCAGTAAGCTTAGGCCACCTACGACTGAGAGGGTAAACTATAAGAAAGTGGATGCTGAAAATCTTCGAAAGACGCCACGCTTTCGATCTCTACCAAGAATCGGGACCCAAGGACCGTAGGTGAGTTCAAGACGACTTACGCCTCTGTTTCGTCCCTAGAAGGGCAAGACGGACAGGGGAAATCTCACAGATTATATTCCAGGGTGGATTAGTAGCTTTCTTCGGCCGCGGTTTGTTGAAACCGTGGGTGTTTAGTTCCCGAAGCTTGTTCATACTTCCTCGTTTCTCCGTCAGTCTTCAATAAAGCAGCGTTGATATCTTAGGCGAGTTCATATCTACGGACCAAGAGCCAGGCTAGATCCCTACACTACCCCGAAGCATTCGCGACTTTTGTGTAGTATCAACTTCATCTATGCCAAGATTACATCCTACCATCGTGGTTCTTGACCTTCTGAGACAATTTCTATTATGAAAAAATACAAGAAAAAGAAAAAATACAAGACAAAGAGAAGGGGGAAAAGTACCTTCCCCAACAAGTTATGTTTTCAATAGTGGTGGATAGAATTCCATTTCGGAGCACTGTCAACGGCTTGAATGTTCGATTACAATTTCTCAACGGATCATAGCTGAGATCGACGTACTGAAACTTATATCAAACTGAAAACTCCTATTATAAATTTATTGTATATTCTTATAACATGCAAAACAGGGCATTTAGAAACCGCTGATAGGTGATGCTAGTAGGACCAATCCCAGACGGAGGGAGAAACGTCAAGCAAAAATTGCTGACATGCTCTCCCAGATCTCCCAAACTCCCTCCCTGAAGCTCCGTTCCAGTTACTGCAAGTAGCTCACCCACGACTATTTATCTTCTTGACGAATTTCTCTACTCTTTTGCCCCCGGCGGACCATTTAGCACACATCCCTCCTCTCTGACCTACCCAAAGCTATAACTATCGCTTCTTAAATCACATATGCACACTCATTGAAGTGGAGAACATCACCCTTGGAGATGGGGAAATCAACCAGCCGATCCCCATTAGCATTGTGATGGACGTGCTGCTTGTACAGCAGTGAAGCACTGATTCGATTTCGAATATCCAGGCTTTGCTCAGCTTATATTTTCACGAAAACGCTCGTAACCATGGCCTGACGCGTGCGTCAAGCAACAACAAGTCCACAATTTGAGTCACTTCTATTATAGAAACTCACCGGTATAATATCTCTGTCCCATGGATCAAAATTTGGCAATATGCAGCGATCAAGTGGCCTGTCGACTTTGTTATTGGCAGCATCTTCAGTACCTTAAAGCTTGAAGGTTTCTAAATCGTCTTTCTTGATGTCCTTGATTGATAGCTGTTCTTGTTCACAGTTATCCACTGTTCAGCGTATTCCTCATTACCAGGGCCTACTAGAGCGCGCAATTATATACAGGGGCAATAAGAAAGAATTACATTTGCTACAGATTCAAAACGAAATAATTACACTTTGCTAAATTTAAACCGAATGCGTCCACTTGGTACTGAAGAGCTCGCTACTGTCTATCAAAAACCTCACAACTGCCTTTCTGCACCGACGG